GAAATCCAGTGGTTTACAATCTATGGAATAGCATTGATGATGTTATCTAGTTTGGTCATGAAATGTCTGCAAGAAAACAACCAAGCTCAGAGACCACCAAAGATTCTCAAATGATTCAGATAAATAGAATAACAGATTTGGAAGGGATCTTGGAGATCTTCAAGTCCAACCCCCTGCTTAGGCAGGAAACCCTATACCACTTCAGATAAATGGCTATCCAACATCTTCTTAAAAACTTCCAGTGTTGGAGTATTTACAACTTCTGGAGGCAAGTTGTTCCACTGATTAATTGTTCTGTCAGGAAATTTCTCCTCAGTTCTCAGTTCGCTCCAGGATTGCTTCTCTCCTTGATTAGTTTCCACCCATTGTTTCTTGTTCTACCCTCATGTGCCTTGAAGAGTACTTTGACTCCCTCTTCTTTGTGGCAACCTCTGATATTGGAAGACTGCTATCATGCCACCCCTAGTCCCTCTTTTCATAAGACTAGACATATCCAGTTCCAGCAACCGTTCTTCATATGTTTTAGCCTCCGGTCCCCTAATCCTCTTGGTTGCTCTTCTCTGCATTCTTTCTAGAGTCTCCACGTCCTTTCTACATCGTGGAGACCAAAACTGGATGCCGTATTCCCAGTGTGGCCTTACCAAGGCATTATACAGTGGTATTAACACTTCACGTGATCTTGATTCTATCCCTCTGTTTATGCAGCCTAGAACTGTGTTGGCTTTTTTGGCAGCTGCTGCACACTGCTGGCTCATATTTAAATGCTTGTCCACTAGGACTCCAAGATCCCTTTCACAGTTATTACTGTTGAGCAAGCTACCACCTATACTGTACCTGTGCATTTCATCATTTATTGCAGAGGTTACCTGCTGTATTAGATATGGCAAATAGTTTTTTCATTTTACTAGAAATGTCTTGTCAGATTACCACAAGATTCACAATATTTATTTTCTAAAGTAGGCATTTATTGAAATTGTTCTTGTGGATTATTTCAAGTTTTTATTTTTATTTATTTTTATTTTATTATTATTATTTTATGGTGAATATTTTACTTTGCTCAGGTAAATCTCAAATAAATTACCAATTAGGTAAACTGTCAAGAATTGATCTAGATTTGCAGCAGGATAGAAATCAAATAAGTAAAACTGATTTCACAAACAAATTTGCCAGCTTTTTAAAGTTTTAAGCTTTAAAATTTATGGTAAAAAGAGCTGCAAGGCTGTTTCAAAGTAGCAGTCAGATCATAGATACACATATAACTATTTTATTAACTGTATTATTTTAGATACCGTCCAATTCCAGAAGATGTTCTTTTACGTGCTTTTGAGGTTTGTATCAATCCATATATGGGGGAATTTCTTAAACTTCAAGGCAATAAGAATAAAATTTACATTTAGTGTTCCATTTTATAGGTTTTGGATCAGAATAAATCTGGACATCTAGCTAAAGATGATTTGGTAAAGTATATGACTGAAGAAGGTAAAACTTTAGCAAAATATTTACTAAAACTAATTTTATTTGCTTAGGAAAAAATAGTTGTACTCTGCATATGAATTTGAGTGTATCTGTGGTGACACAGAATACAGGTAGTCCTCAACATACCACTGTAATTGACCCTGTCCATCACAGTTATATGTCCTAATGGCTTCAAAACCAATTGTATGACATTTTTTCTGGCAGCTGTTTTTGTGGAAAATTTGCTTAACAACTGCCACCATAATAGTTCTTAAGCAAATCTGCAAACCATTAAGCAAACCAAGGGTTCGCCATGGGCACAGTTTTGCCAAAAACAAGAAGTGTCGTTTTCAGCAAAACTGTTGTAAAACACAGTTGCTGGCCAACAGCTGTAACTGCGACTGCGATGTTTATCACCAGGTGATAAATCCCCCTTTTCAGGTGTTTTGGAACTTCAAACATTTGCTAAGCCACCAGTCATAAGATGAGGACTACCTGTATGAAGATAAGCTTACCATAGGCCTTAGAATGGAAGAAAGGCAACCTGGAGGTTGAATATGATGCTATTCACAATCCTGTGGAAGTACCTGGAATTCTACAAATGTATATTGCTCCTGTTTACAAAAAAGTATGCCCATCCCTATCTGAAGAATAAAATCCAACCTCATAAAACAGTGCTAATGCCTTCCCATTATCAATCCAGAGGCATATTCAGTAAGTTCCACATTGATTCAAATTTGTGTGCCTTACTAAAAAAAAAGTATTAATATAAAAAAAGAAAACCATAAATGTCAATGCATTTCAAGTTGTATAAATCATTGAGCTTAGGAAAATAATTACAGCACATTATATAATATATAAAAAAGGAAAAGGAAAAAAATATTATATATATGAAAACGTGAAATGATAGCTGCCAGTTCTTTAGTTGGCGTTGGCCTTCATTTTCATCAAATTCTTCCCAAGTACTAGGATGACATAATGTATTGGCGTAGTACATGTCCACAACTAAATAGTGTGGCCATTTATAATTGACAAATGAATTTTGTCAATGCGTAAATTGCGTTCCACCAATGCGTGCCATCCAAGATCCACCACTGCTGGTTTATGCCATTCAACTTTGAATTTCAGATCTCAACTTCTCCATTCTTTGGCTTCTGTTCTATCTCCTGACAAAGCGGGTGCAATGGCTCAGTGGTTAAAGACGCTGAACTTGTCAGCTAGACAGCCCGGGTTCATGACCTGGCTGACCCTTAGATTTCTTTCTTTCTCTTCAGAAAATCTCATCAACTATTTTACAGTGTCTCCCCATTGCCACCTTTGATGAGTTGATGAGATTAATAAAAAAAAGCAATTTTCATCCATTACTGAACTCTCAGCAAATCTGAAATGCCAATGAAACTTCAAAATATATTATGTTGGGGTGGAAATTAGCATTTTGATGATTAACAATTCGGCAAAGAAAACAGAAGCAAGAATATGTTACAACATATTACAATATAGCTAATATTTTGTAGACAATTTGCAATGTAAGAATTTTGGTAGAATGCTTTTGCAGATTCTAAAACATCTAATACTTGCTGGTTGGAATTTTATCATAATCATTTATATGTTACGGGTTAAACATTTTAAATTTGAATTTAATTATGTTATATGAAATGGGTAGTGTCAGTATAGGATTCTCAGTAACAATTTCCCCCCTCCCCCTAAAATTCAGATTTATGTTTACCGCTTTTGAAATAGTTTGAAAACCCTAAAATACCAATAATTTAGAAGGTTTATGTAGTAGAAACACTGCAGGCAATTGTTGTTTTTTGGCTGCAGGTGAGCCTTTTACACAGGAAGAAATGGAAGAAATGCTTTCAGCAGCAGTAGATCCAGAAACAAATACTGTTCGCTACAAGGATTATATTTCAATGATGGTTGTGGATGAAAACTAAGGATGTTGTTTAATTTGTGGGTGTGAATTTATTGTTTTTATATTAACTTCATTGTAGTTACTGTATTTGCTTTTGGGCACAAGCATAATAATAATAATTACACTGAAATTTATGAAAATACTATATTGTTTATTTTGTGAAAGACCAACATTCCTAAATATCTTAAAGTGTCAATCTGATTATATAACTGAAAATAGTAGAATTCAAAATTTGCAAATAAAATACTAATTGGGCAATCTTCATGACAATTCACAGGAAAGTTGCATTGAATTTAATAGGATTATTAGAAAAATGTACAAGAAAAATGTGCAAGATTGCAATCTAAGGCTGAAGTAATGGGTTTACTGAAGAATAGGTTCTGTTGAATATGCTTACTGAAAAATAAGCATAACTTATTTTCAAGAAAGAAAGCATAGAATTATAATATACACTGCATAAAATAATGTAATTATAGTACTGAACAGGAAAACAGTTTAAAATTAATGAAATAACTCAAACAAAAATAAGAAATAATAGAAGTTCCAAATGTAGGAAAAACAAAGAAATGTTACAGTTGTGCTGAATTCAGAAGAAACCTCAAAACATTAAATGTTGGTGTTCAGGCTTCATTCAATAATGGTTAATAAGCAAACTCAAACCTTTTTTCATGTTAAAACTTGATATCTGTGCTGGGGAGAGTAGAGGTGCTTCTGCTATTGAAAAGAGTTTCTGGAACTAAAAGAAGATGTCCTCACTGAGCACACCTTTCACCTTTGTTCCAATAAAAGGAATTTATTGACTTTCAGCTATGTGGCGATTTCTCTGTTTTTTCCGTGTGTGTTCATTTGGGGGGAGTGTTTTCCATTTAAATATATTCACATGATTTAATTGTGTTTATCTTGAAGATATCGTCAAAGATTTCAAAGATCATGTTTTTTTTTGTTGATATCCTTTAATATTTATCTAAGAATAGGATCTAGGGGCCTTATTCCAGAGTTCGCTCTATTCCTTTTTAAACTTTCACACATATGCACATGTATAAACTTGCAAATAAATATCTTCCCAAAAGTTAACAATCTAAAGACATAGTTACAGTATTTAAAATAATTATCTTGCTGATTGAATGTGCGATTACTATATTTTATTTCTCATTTTGAATTAGCAGTAACACAATAATCATCATAAAATCAAATTCAGTTTATTCATGGGAATAAATAAATACTTGGAAATAGGAAATAGATGAATGAGAGAAAAAGGTACAAATGTTTTAAAAATCACTATCTAAAATCATGGAGGTTGAAATTAGATTGATATCAGGGATGTTTTATCAATAGAGTTACATGTATGTTGGTTGGGAATTTTGCATATAAATAAGTAAAGTGGGTAGTGGAAGAAAATTCCATTTGATGAAATATTGATACAATTATTTGCTTAAATCTTTTAACTCACATGTAGCAATTTCCACCTCTATACACCATTTAGTGGATTGTCAGATTTTAATTAATCTAAAATGTGTGAGCGCAAATAATAATCCATTCTTTCATACATATTCTCTCTCCATACAAACGTGTATATATGAGGCACCAGGATGGGGCAGAGAAAGGCAGTGTGATTGTTTAGGATTGCTGGTGCTCAACAATGATTACTCAAAGGGTGGTTCTCATTGACAGGAAATTTCTCCTTAATTTTAGGTTGTATCTCTCTTCAATAAATTTCTATCCGTTGTCCTGCACCCTCAGGTGCTTTGGAGAATAGGTTGACCCCCTACCCTCTGTGACAGCCTCTCAAGATATTGGAAGATGCTATCATGTCACTGCTAGTCCTTCTCGTCGTTAGATTAGCCATATCCAGTTCATATGTTTTAGCCTCTAGTCCCCTAATCATATTTGTTGCTCTTCTCTGCACTCTTTCTAGAGTCCCAACATCTTTTTTGTATTGTACACAAGTGTGGCATTACTTGTGCAGTATAAAGTGGTACTAACACTTCATGTGAGCTTGATACTTAATCCCTCTTTTGATGTAGGCCAGGAATGCATTGGCTTTTGGGGCAGCTGCAGCACACTGCTGGCTCATATTTAAGTGATTGTCCACTAGGACTCCTAGATCCTTCTCATGCTTACTGCTGTTGAACGTGGTATCACCTAGCCTATATTTGTGCATTGGGCTTCTCTTGCCTGAATATTTATTATATATACCCAGGCTAATCCATGACATAAACATACTGTGTTGCTTTAATGCAAAGAACCGAGCAATACTTAAAATATGTCTTTCTTTGATCAAATTTAACAAAACCCCAGCTGCTACAAAAGCCTTCTGCTATATCTGAATGTTGCTACAAAAAAAAAATCCAATGCCTAGTTGACTCTACCTTTGTGAGATATCAGAATAGAATGCATTTCGGGGTGTTCCCCCCCCCCCGTTTATATTGCCGCCAGCTCCAAATATCTGAATATTCTCTTTCAAACAAAAGTATAATGACAATATTGTATGGTCTTTTTTACTTGGCATTCATGCGGTGAATGGGGTAGGGGTGTCAAAAGAGGCAAGATGACAGTCACAGAAATGCAACTGAAGTCCCACTTCTTTGTAGTTCATGCAACATTGATATACCTACAAAAGGTGGAAACTCCTCTTGTGGAAACCACTGGCTTACATTTAAATATTTTGATTAAGAATTACTATTTTAATGGCATAGCAGTAGATTTTACAATAAAGTTATATTTCAGGAACAGTAATTAAATATTTGTACCTTTCACTGGAGCACAGGTAAACATACTATCTCAGATATACCTTAAATGGTTTTAAAATCTTCATGGAGGGATGAGATTGAAATTCAGGTCTTTGACATCAGTGTTAATGGTCCAAGAACTATCGACAACAGTGATTCAAATCAGTGGTTGCTTGCCAATTTTTTTATTACCAGTTCAGGCGTGCTCATGCACATGTGTGACGCTTCTGCACATGCACAGAAGTAGGTGGGCGGAGCCTCCTGCCGTTGCTACTACCAGTTCGCCCAATCTGGGCTGAACCGGGATCAATCCACCTCTGATTCAAATATAAGGGAATTCAGTATATGGCAATGGCATGTTTCTTACTGGTAAGAACTGGTATAGGGCACCCAACAGTCTTAATTTAAAAATAGTTTTAATCTACATGATTCTTGAAAACCTTTACTTACACGTTCTTGACCACATATTAACTATACCAGACTTTTTACATGCTTGCTTTTATTAGAACCTCTAATTAAGGCATATTAAATAATTGAGATGGTATCCTTCTGTATCAGTAATTTCTTCTTCAATTAAATTTTATCTTAGGTTTTAATAACTCCCTTGCCTGCATGCAATACTACTGACTAATTAGCCTCAGTTCCATTTCATTTCAATGAAATAAACAAGCAATGTGATAGTTTATTAATTTTTTCCTAATAAAGAACAACAGTACTCTTGAATCCTATGAGTAAATACAAATTGATTGTGAATAGCTTTAACAGTAATGAGAAAAATGTTCTGCTTCTGGAAAACTGTTGCACTGTAATTATAAGGCCATATATGAAGTAGGAAGTTTTTGATTAAAAACACAACTCCTTCATAAGCCTAGGGTTGAGAGCAAGCTATTATTTTTTAGCTTCTCCTCTGATTCAATTTCTAAAGAGGGTTGGCTGAGCTAATAAGATAAGCCAATCTTAAAAGATTGTTGTTGGGATTGTAGGGGGTAGAACTGCTACAGGTTATCCTTGACTTACAACCATTCATTTAGTGATCCTTCAAAGTTACACTGGCACTGAAAAAGTGATTTATGACTGGTTTTCACATTTACATTGTAACACCTCCCCATAGTCATGTGATCGAAATTCAGGTGCTTGGAAACTGGCATGTATTTATGACAGTATCATTGCCCTGGGGTCATCTGATCACTATTTGCACACCTTCCCAGCTGGCTTCTGGCAACAAAATCAATGGGGGAAGCCAGATTCACATAACAATGGCATGATTCACTTAACAACTGCAGTGATTTGCTTAACATTAAGGTAAAAAAGGTCATTAAATGGGGCGCAACTCACTTAACAACTGTTTCACTTAGCAACAGGAAAGTTGGGCTTAATTTTGGTCGTAAGTTGAGGAGTCCTCCTAAATTCAGCCTGTTGACAAATTTCCTCCAGTTAAAGTTGTTATGGAACTGAGAAGACACTGTTGACAAATGATGGCATACATAGGTAAAAGTACAGTAGCTCTGATCTTGTAGTTGACGTTACTTTTGCGTGATGGTACTCTTGGTGTAAATGTAGGGAAATTGTAGCATGAGCCATTTCCTGTGTTAGTATCATTCCAAGATTATTGCTTATTATGAGAATCTGCTTCAGGTTGGGTGTTATTGATATGTAAGCATGAGCCTGCTGCCACCTAGTGCCTGAGAAAGTACAGTGTTGTTGTCCATTGGGCTCTTCAATAGCTTACTCATGTGTTTCAGCGGCATGAGCTGTGGATAAACAAGTGTCTGTTTTTATAGTTTGTCGTTCTTAACAAGTCCTTCCTGCGAGTTGATGTGGTTCAGTTGATATTTTTGTTGGTTTTATTGACTATGATTCAGTCTTCTAATTGCCAGGTTTAATCCCATTATCTCAGTATCTGTCAAGTCAGGTCAAAAAAAATGTGGTTATAGAGCTTAGCAATGAATGCTAAATTTAATAACAACTTCTGGATGGAAGTTGGAAATCTGTAGATATGCTTAACAAACTACAGGTCTCTTGTATTTATGTGCCTATTGTGTAGCTGTATCATGACATTAAGGAAGAGGTTTGATTCCGTAATTCAGTCTAAAGTGAGGTTGATGGTGATAGTGGAAGTTACTAAGATTATGATATTTGAAGAAATATTAATTTCCCTTTGATACTTAAGTATTTTGAGCATGTTCAGATTGGAATTTGTATTTATAAATATTATAAACATTATCAAAAGTAGATGTATCAGTTTAATGCATCCAAATTCATAAAATGTATAGGCTTCACATTCCACACCTTTATAATAATTTGAAAGCACACCTGCACAATTATTGTATATACAGTATGCCTCTGTACTTCTATCTTTTTCACAGTCAAGATGGACTGAAACAACAAAGAAAATTCAATAATAAAGCATCATTAAAAATTAAAATGAAAGTTTAGTGGATATTAATAAGCATGCACTGCTTTTTACTAGGAAGAGCATAAAATATATGATGCTCAGTACAATGGCACGTCGGTCAATAAAATGTTAAAATGGTCTTATTTTAAGATCCAGAGTAATTGTCTTCTCAATATTAAATAATATCCAGTCCTAGGAGGAAAAAGAAACGGTCTTGGAGACATAGTGAATTCTGTGCTTAGCAGATTGTTGTTTCAGAGGAGGACCTGTTTCTTTGCCTACAAACTATAATCACTGAGCATGTTTTTTTTTTAATTAAAATATCTTTTCCATTTATAGGACAAGTAAACTCTCACATGAAAGTTGTAAAATAATAAAGAATCAGGGCAGGCAACTACTTCCTCCTGCCTCTAATCTTCAATTAAAGTTGCCCTTTTTGAAGCAGTTGATGCCACTTTTCTTAACATTTGCTTATAGACAAGGTATCTGCAGGATATAGTAAAAAAAACTGTCAAGTTGGCAGCTGGAACAGTGTGATCAAAACTCCTTCTGTGCTGCACATAAAAATTGGTATAGCAACCTGTCTTAGAACTGACAATTAAAATATTGAGCTGGTGAGTAGTTTCTGCGTTATAGTTATCAACTATCAACAATAAATGAACCAGCGGTCAAGAAATATATC